CCCCCCCCCGGGTCTCCGCCTGCTGCTCCGCCGGAGAAGCGGCTGCCTGAGCTTCCACCCCTGCCTCAGCCCGGAGCTCCCTGGGCTGGGCTCAGGCTCTGTGCCTGGGCAGCTCTGACCATGCTCTGGAGCCCGCTGGATGTGCTGCAGATGGGGAGAGAGGCAGCATTATTATTATGATTAGCCCGTGGCTCAGCCCCGGGTCTCTGGTTTCATTTCCTTTTTCCTGATCACGATTCAAATACAATAGAAGGAAATCACACTTAAAGAGACAGCTGCCCGTTTCTTAACTGGACTCCTGGGGATTTAGCAATACAAACAGCAGCATCACGACTCGCTGGGTTTCTTAAAGAGGCAGAGCTGGGGCTGCCCGGAGCCAGGGCCGGGAGCTGACGCTGCATTTTCACATTACAAGGACATTTCCTAACGCTTGTTGGGCGGACAGGGGTGCTCAGGTGGGTAGGCAACCTGAAAGCGATCCCAAGGACTGGAAAATGACAAGTGCCTGGTTCTGTGCTGCTGGCTTCTTCCCAGCTCCACACAGGACCAAAGCGACGGTCACCACCTCTCTCCTCTCCCTCTCTTTCTCTTACATCCACAGAAGCACTTGCCCCCGCGCACACGCGGTTTTGGGCAGTACTTTGAGACCCACAGATGAAGAAGCTAAGTGTTATTTTTCTATCTAGGAATCCAGTCGGCCAACTCAGTTGTGTCTCCTGGCCAACCCCTAGTGAACATTTACTGGGGTCTGCTCTGGACGTGCCCTAGTTCTTGACAAGCCGTATCACTAATTTATATCTTGACACCTTTTGATGTTAATGAGCTATAAAAGCCAGAGAGTACCAAGTATCGATCTGTAATTAATCACAGAGAAGCTAAAGATGAGAATGTCTTGCCTGAGTATCTCTTCTTTCTCCTCCCACCCTTCCTCCTCCTCTCCATCAGCACATCCCGGAAAGGACGGATTTACAGCGCCGGGGTGAAAACTCTTACAGCAATTCCAGCATTTCCCAGTCTCTGTGGCATTAGATACTGGAGGCAGAGTTCTGGTCCTGTTAATTCCTTTTAAAAACAGCAAGAAAATACCTGTAATAAAGCACTAGTGACTACTAGTAGAAATACTTCACTTCTATATTCATTCCCAGAAGAGAAATGTATTTGATGTCTATTTTTATGACTACATTCTCATTTTATTATTTTTTTTTAGCTTTTTGGCAGCTGGGGATATAATATCTGCAGTACATTAATGAGCCCGATTCACAGATTAGCAATGTCAGCAGAAGGACTGTTATTCATTTCAAGGGGCTTTGAACCAAGCTCTCTCAGTACTTTAGAGCCATCACTGGTCATTAGGACACATTCTTATTCTTTAAAAACATTCTCTCCGGTGTATTTTAAGCTATTACAGAATGACAGTCACTCTTGTTAAAGACTCTTTTGTCAGGTTTTGCAGGCAGGACTGAATTATATGATGACTAATTCAGTTCTTAGGTATTTACTCTGTGATCAGAAAAGTAAAATGTAAACCTTTCTGGCAGACTGAATAATTAAACTATTGCAAGACACTCCATACACCCCCCAAACAACACAACAAATCTACTAGGAACTTGATTATCTTGGCTTGAAAAATTAAAAATTAAATGCAAAGGTGGCTCAAAACCATGTGTGAGAACTTCAAATATGCTAAAAGACATTTCTATGAGCTTGGTTTCTTCTGCCTCTGTGTCTCAAGGTTTAATAAAGTATAAACTGAGTCAAAATGGCCCTGGTGATTGGGGTATTCATGTTCTGAATAGCTCCTGATGGAATAATGTGAACAATTCCATAATGTCAGGTAAATTTTCTGGTTTCAGATGACACAATTGTGCACACACTACAGATGTACTGGCATGCTGCCCCTCCTATTTAAAAATAAATAGGAAAAATACAACGTTTACAGGAAATTAGTATCTTTAAGACCCTTTGTCTATCTGAAAGAGATTAGCTGTTTCAAGAGTTTCAGTGAGGGACAAAAACATTTACCCTGACACCAAATTGCTTGGGAAAACAACATATAAACGAGCATTTATAATATACAGTGACCATTGATTACTGGAGAACATGGGGGTTTTTTAAGCTTTTGCAACACTTGTATTCTTGCTTTGATGAGACTACCTTAGGTCTAGCAGCTAACCTCCCTGAAGCTGGAAAGATAGTTCTCATATTCATAGTTGAGTCCATGCATTGCTGTGCTGACCAAGGTCCATCCCTTAACCTGCAGAAAGCTTTTCTGGCTTTCATTGGAAAGTTTGTTCTGGATCTGACTGAAGAGGATGACAATAAAGCTGATGCAAATTGTCCTCTTCAGCTTCTTTATTACCTGCTGTCCCACCGTGCTGGTGTTTAGTGCCAGTTCCCACTGGATTCACAGCAAAAGGCCCAGCAAGAAGGTCCTCACCAGGCTAACCATGAGCTGCACCTTCTAAGACATTTGAGAAACAAAGAAATACACTTTTTTGGGGCAACTATATTTTCCTTTAATGTGTTTACATATAATAAACTTGCTGTGGACAGTGAAATTTGACATTTCCAGCTGAGAACTCTTGTGTCCCACCAGGACAGATGACCGATCATCACAAGAGACTTCTCTTTTTTTCTTTTTTTCACCTTGAGCAAGTTCCATTAATACCTCTTTGCCTCAGTTTTCCCATCTGCAAATGTTTACTTCCCTCAGCAGAACTGGCTGTTGATTTCCTTCTGCCTCCCACTGAATGCTGTTCCCAAAGACAAAGAGTTATTCAGCGCTAGAATTGGTGGTGCCGACATTTCCTGCACAGGGACAAAAAGACCAGCACTATTTTTACTGAGACCTTTTCTTCCCATTGTCCCTTTCTCTCTGAAGCTGTATTTTCCAGCTCTTTTTATTGTGGCTTTTATTATTTTTATTATTTTATTATTTTTCTTTTTTTTTGGTATTCGTTGATTGAAAATCCCAAGGGATGAGTTTAGGTTTCAATTAACTTTTATTAATAAAGATCATGCTACAGACTTATTGTTGGAGCAGGGCTGAGATCAAATCCACTGTTACTAACTGCATTTAGGATTCAGTGCTTGGAACAATGTGCCATGAATAAGTTGGCTGGACTTTTCTAGCTATTTCTCACTAAGAACACTGGATGTAAAACTGCATCATTTCTAGGGGTGGTGCCACCTAAAGAAATAGCTCAACACCCCTGTTTCCAAAGAAACATCCTCTCTTGGACTCATCTTTTCAGCTTGGTTTTGGAAGCCACAGGATCATCATCATCCTAACCACTCAGTCTCAGGTTGCTCCTACCTTTATTTCTTTAGTATATCCTGGCTTTATTCCCCCTAGAGCTTATGGATTCTATTGAACTATTTCAGGTCATCCTCATGTAGAGAAGTCTGTGTTCAGTAAGATTAACTTTGCTGCCCTTTCATAGCCACTAATGCTGAT